CCAACCGGCACTGAGCAGGCACCTGTAAGAAAGGTACTGCAAAACCCAGACAGCCATCTTCCGGAGGTGGGAGGGTGACACACGTGGAAGCGGGGCTTTGGTGCTAAGTCAGAGAAAGAAGCCAAGAGCTGGTGGGGGGGGGGGGCACGCAATGCCTCACATAAATCAGAACCTAGTCTCGTAGTTTCACTAACACGACCTTGGAAAGGACAATGTCCTGACCTCTGGCTGCGAAGGGTTTCAGGTACTTGGAACACAGAAAAGGTCATGTAAACCTAACTTATCTAACAAACTGCTCAAACTTTTAGCAAAAAGGATTACTTCCGTTTGAAAATGAAGCATTAATTTAGGAAATTTTTATTTCTTAATACCTTTTAAGTCGGCTTATGTCAACATATTACAACTCAAAACCAAATAAAGAGAAAAACGCACTTTATTTCTTAAAAACCAAACTCACCCTTCTTGCTTTGCTCTGATATTTAATGGCTTTTTTGGTTTCTTCCTTAGCATGCTCTACGTAGTCTGCGGCATTCGTCACGTTTTTTTCTATGTTGTTGATCATTTCACCCTTAAAACAAAAAGTTTCAAGCTTAGAAGACATTTTCAAATGACTTAATTATCTTAAGTACCTTAAGACAGCCAATAATGTTTTCACACGAATGTGACATGTGCGTAATGGATATGAATTTTTTCACATTTATAAAAAGAGACCATTATAAATGTGCCAATACAAAGCATCCAAATTCAATTTGCAGTTTAAAAAGAACTAAAAGGGACAGACGACAGTGATGACCAAGGGTGCGTGGAGTGGACCGCAAGATTTGCTTTCGGGCGTGAACTCTTTTCACAGATGGGCAGTGAGGGCTGCGGCTGCTCGAGGTTGCATTGGGTCACCGTGCACACAGCATACGAAAACACTTTTTTTCTAACGGGTCGAAACCGTTGCGATTTCTTTAAAACGTCAGTAAACTAAGAATAGCGTGTTTTTGGCACTAAGTTGACTAAATGAATGAGCAAAAACGTAAAATGGGGTGAATCTCGTGAAACGTGAGGGATGAAAGCACATTACCTGGTTTTCTGTCCACCCGCAGACATAATCTGCAGCAGTGAGTAGCAAAGCATTGAAGAAGGACGCACAATTAACTTATTCATTCGCAAATTTAAACTTATGTAAGTTTTGACTGAACATAGATTTTGAATGAGATGGGTCAATAATGCGATACTAACCACCTTCTAAAAGGGAACAATGAAACAACGCGAAGAACACAGCAAATCTTCTAACGGAGCCTAATGCAGGACATTTGGTATAAAACGATTATAATTAAACTCTAGGGTACTGTGAAATCCTTCGTCATTACAAGAACGATGAGGTGTCCGACTGCGTTGCTTCGGAATACTTTCTAAAACGTCCCACTCACACCGTAAACGGCGTGGGCCCCCCAAACCAAACCCCCCAGTCGCTGGGTCCTCCCAACGCAGGCGCGGGACACGGCTTTATGATAAAGCTCCTCGGAAGAAACAGTGTCCCTCAGAAGGTCAGCGAGGCCTGTGCCTGATGGGCCCCTCGCCCCGCACCTAACCCGGTGAGCACGGAAGCAAGCCGGCCACTTCCAAACCTCCTGAGAGGGCCGGTCCTGCCCAGGCCGCCCCGACACCTGTCCCCGCGGGAGTGAGGATGCGTCAACCTCCGACAGGTGACAGGAGTGCGCCGCGCCCCCTCACAGGGTGGCCGGCTGCCTCCCACCAGGCGCCCTGAGCGCCAGCACGTCTGTCGGGCACACGCTGGCCTGTGCCGCACACAGTTTTATGTAGTTTTTAAGGCCATTAACTCTTCAGTTCTCTCAGGGGGTCTCGTCACACCCCTCCATTGCCCGCCCACGTGACTGGACAAACTGAGAACACCATGTAACCCATACTAGCTTTCATCTGCATCATGGCTGTATTCCCTTTGGGGCTTATTCTTCTTAACATTTCTTCCAATTATTATTCTAATATATGCTCCTTGTAGAAATCTTGAAAATATATATTTTAGATAAGAACATTTAGATTCCCACAGTCCCACTGTTATTACGCTGCTTCACGCAGCCGAGTCCACGCCGTGTGCGTGTGCACGCGCGTGCGTTGATACACTACATTTATCTGTACATCCATAAGGTTTTATCTCTCCCTCTTAACCAAAAACTGCAGCACATCTGCACATTGCATTCAAAATCCTGCATGAACAAAGCGTTCATGTTGCCTGCACCAGAATCCACTTAACCAAGCCAGGCTCTTCCGGTGGGAGGTTTAGGCTGTTCCCAGCATTTCAGCCCTACACTGCAATAACGCTGCCATCGACTTTGGAATTTTGAGACTGGATCCAAAAGAATGGCTCTCCCAGGAGGACCAGACTCAGCTACAAGATTTTACACGTGACCGTCGTGACTTCAGGGCGGGGAAGATGGCCGCAGTACCTGGGTCTCAACGAACATGGCCATGTCCATGAACATCTCGTGCAGCTCCCGGATGCTGGTCTCCAGTTTCATGATGTCTTTGTGCCGGGACTCGATCTCGTTGAGAGCTTGCCTGGTGATCTGTGAATCTGATATAATCTTTGGAGGGCGAAAACAAGAGAGAAACGCTGAGACCTGACGGCTGCTTCGGAAGCGTAAGAAAGCACACGCGCACGCGGCGCGGCCACGAGGCCGGCGGGCACTCACGTCCGAGGTGAAGATGGACGGGCTCCCACTTTCCAGCATCGCCTCCAGCTCATCGTCCGTGGTAGTTTTTCCAGCTAAAAGGTGAACGAGACTCTGCTCAGAATGTGGCAGTGTTTAAAAATGACTTTCAACCGTAAGTCAGCAACTAAAATCCGAGTTCATTTTTAAAGAATGTTTTTTCGACCTTGCGAACTGCTTTCTCAGGCAGGTGTTAACGGTGGCCTGAGGTGCACGAGTGGCTGGAACACGCTCGGGAAGGCCTTAGGGCCAGGGCGACCCAGCGATCCGCTGTGGGAACGAGGAACAGCTACAAAAGGGAAGTCGACACCTAGTTTTCTGGCACATCAACTTTCCCAGAAGTTTGGCTCGGCTTATGGAAAAGGGGGTAAGCGGAATCTGCCATGTGTCAGACGGACACAGACAAAGACGGTGTGACTGGAATCGGATGCTTTGATTCTTCCTGTGTTTGGGCTGTTCATGTTTCCCCTTGAGTTAAGGGCACTAACGCTCCCTAGGAAACACGTTCACAGGGTTAGGGAAATATCAAACTGATAATTACTATTTCCCACAAAAGACAAAGCTAAATGAATCAACGTACTATTCATATCACCATCCAGTGTTAATGCTCATACCACACAGAGGCCCGTCGCCTGATGAACGGACACACGCGGCCGTGGGACAGGACTTAGCCAGAAAGGGACAGAGACTGACACACGATGCAACATGCGTGGACCTTGAAAACTGCCAGGCGAAGGAGGCCGGTCACAAACCCATGTGCTATATGCCGTGTGTGTGAAATGCCCAGAGTGGGCAGATGCAGAGACAGAGAAGTCAGTCGCCGGTTACCTAAGGCTCGAGCGTGGACGTGGGGGTGACCGGTAATGGGCAGGGGTTCTTTTTGGAGCGATAGAGATGTTCTAAGATTAACTGCGTAAAAGTAAGAAGCGCTGAGCGGTGCACTGAACACCACCTGCGTGGCTGTCAGTTACGCCTCACGAAGTCGCTAGAGGGACATTTGGTGAGGTCACCATCACTGCTGCCCCCGCTCCCCACGGCTGTGGGTTTGCACCCACGGTGGGTTCACGTAGCACCTGAGGAGCGCAAACTTTGAAAACGGGGCGTAAGCAAACTGCCTTCGCCCAGGAGGAGATGCAAGCTCCGTCCTGACAGCGGCCTGCTACACACACATCCTCGAAAGATGGCTGGAACAAAGGGCAGCTAGTGTCTGCTCACGGAGCCGGAGCCGGAGCCGGAGCCGGACCCGGAGCCGAGACCCACGAGAACCGTCTTCCTGACGGCGCAGGAAGGGTTGGGGGACACAGAAAAATGCCTGAGGAGACAAATCTGATTAACGCTCTAAAAGTAATGGTGGTTAGAAAGTACTTTCAAGTCCACTCGCCTAGAACTTTCTGAAGGATGAAAATAAATACCAGGTTTGGTCGATTCGGTGAACACGAAGCTATGGAAGGGCTTTAGCTTTTACGCAGTGGCCAAAACAGAGATAGAATTACTTTTTTGAAGTTACAGTATTTCAATGTCAGACCTTAAGACAGAAAAATGATTTTAACAGAAACGGCATTTTCAAACACTCACTTATTTCTAGCTGACGCTGTATCCGTCCTTTGCTTCGCTCCCGAAATAGAATCTGTGCTTCATTATATTCGGTCATGACTTCCACAAACTTTCGAGACAGTACTGAATGCTTTGACATAGACAATATTAGATTAGTACGTAATGGTCATACCTTACACTGAAAGTGATAGATACAAACATCCCATGACGGAAACCCACCCCACCACGCTGCTCCGTCACATGGGGAGTAACCCTAGCAACTCGCTCGATGCCAGAATCTATGCTAAGCACTTCACGTGCATTACCACTTTCTCCGAGTTCACAACAGCCCTGCAGTGCTGTCACTTCCCCGTTTTACAGAGGTGACAGCCATCATTTGCAGAGGTCAAGCAGCCCAAGGTACAGGCCTGGCATCCAAGCAGGCTGTTCTGGGGTCGGTGCACTGGACCACCTCTGGTCAAGCGGAGGTGAGCTGTGTGCATCGCTCCCTGCTGCACTGTGAACCTCTGAGAGGTGAGGCCGTGGCGAGAACGCTAAATGACTCCGCTTTTCAGACCAGAATTCTGTGGACGCCTCAACAGGTTTTTATTTTCTTCGTAATAAAGAGAAGTAATCTGTAAGTGCTATGTCCTCTTTATGCAAACACGCTGTGAGGGCTGATTTGGCCATTAAGATGAACTTATTCTTAGCTGAGAGGTGACGGTGAAAAGACCTATCTTCCGACGTGACCTCGGGCTGGGCGACTCCGGTGGGCACACCTGGGTTCTGCGTATCCGAACGTCCACAGATGTCCGCTGCGCAGTCTCATCCCGATCGAAACTCTGTTCAATAGCTAGAAACAAACAGGGGGAAGTTACTTGTACACCAAAAAGTGGACGTTTTTCAAGCCAGACCACACGATGCCTTTCCTTCTTATCTTTCCAACTCCTAATAAACTTAGAGATCTTGGTCGTAATCATCGATTGTTGATAACATCACAAAATAAAACCTGATGTTTACAGTAACATTTAAAAGAAAAAAGAAAGGCTTGACTCTGATCCGTTTTGGTGGGCTGTGCTATCACCCCAGGAACTCAGAGGACAGTGGAGCCGGCTAAATGACAGCACCCAGCGAAAGCAGCAAAACCGCAAAGTGTGGCAGAGTCTGATGGACAAACGTCCTGGCTTCTCCGTCTGACCTAAAGAAAAAAGTGCTATGGAGAAAAAGATGGAAGGCGAATCCGATTTTTAAAAATCTAAACTGACTAACACAGTGCACGGCCCTCATTTCAAAGCCCCTATGGTCAGAAACACACACTGGAGCGCACGCTGCTGGCGCGGTCCCTGTCTGTGGTGGGGCGCCAGCACCCTCGGGGTGGGGCACGAGCCAGACAGAGCCGAGCTGCAGGCCGTGCTGTGGACAAGTGCTTGCAGTGGTAACGGCCCTGCTCCTGATGGGCCTGAAAGTCCCATAATGAAGAGCTCCTTGTGATCTGAAAAGATTGTCCTGGTTTAAATGCTATTTTGCAAAAATTAAGTACCATGTGTCTTTCTACCTTATCAAGAAAACACAAACTATTTGCATCCTATAGGAAAGCTGTGAGCCTCAGAGACCGCCGCGGTAGAAGTGGCCATGGAGCACAGTGACCTTGGCGGAACGCCCATTCAAGGTCCCGGTGGTGCATTTCAAAGGCTACTCACCATCTCAGACATCCGCAATTTAGCCAAGAGTGTCATAAAAATATACCGCTCTAGATTAACGACTTGTAAGCAAGGGCTTCATCCCCCTGACTATGAATTAGTTCTTATCACCTAAATTTAAGGGCTGCCAACTAGCTCTAGTCCCTCCTATGCATCCCCTGAAGCTGGCAATTGACAGAGTCTAGGACATGAAAACTTAAACGAAGGTTTACTGTCCCAAGTACAAATGAATACTTCATTTTCAAGTGCTCCCAACTTTAACATTTGAAAATATAAAAGAATAAAAGTTATAAAGAAATAAACAATACTGACCCAGGGTCCCACCATCACTGACTAAACAGAACCGAAACTTTAAACTCACACTTCAACTTGCCGCGAATCTTGTTAGCCGTTTTCTTGATTTCTTTGTTCAGATGTTCAAGCTCTTCTTTTATTTCTTTAAAAAAAAAACAAGGCATCTGAGCTATGACATCCAACATTAATAATGCCCGACGCACTAAAATGGAACAGCATTTGGCAAACGTTAGTTGGTCTGTTTCTTAGGGAAGCCACGGACCAGCCGGAGGTTCTGGGCCAGCGGCCTCCACACTGCATGCAGCACAGCCGGTTCACGCCGCTAACCACCGATGAGGCCGGCACGGACCCGCCGCCCACTGCCAGCACCACACCTGAGAGCGGGGCAGAACCGCAGCCACGCTCTGGGGAACGAAGTCCCCGCACGCGACCCCATCCCACCCGCCGGTGCTCAGAGCAGCTGGGAGCTGCAGGTCCACGACCCAGCAGACCCAGCACTGTGCCTGGCGGTGCTCAGGGTGTGGGGATCCCAGGCGGATGGGAGGCATGGAGTGCTGGGGCTGCAGCGCCTGACAGCAGTCCGGGCCGCGACACCCGGGGGACCAGGCTCAGTGCGCTGCGCACCGTGGGCGCCTGCACCAGCCGGTCAATGGTGCGCCAGGG